TCCCATTCATTTTCTGAACATTTGTCCTGAGTGCCAGACTCCACCATGGGATCTGGGATACCAAGGATAATAACATGGCCCGGTTCTCAGGAAGTTAGTCCTAAATTAGGGCTCGTGTCAATTTACCTGATGGCAGTTAGCCTGAGTGACCCGGGAGAGAACACCAAAGGAGGGCCTGCTTTGGAGATATATACATATATTGAATTTTAGAGAGAGAGAGATAAAGGGAGAGCAAGAGAGAGAAACATCAGTGTGAGAGCAGGACATCCATAAGCTGCTTCTGAAACCCAGGCATGTGCCCTAACCTGCAACCTTTCAGTGCACAGGTCAACGTCCAACCAGGACGGAATCAAACCAGCAACCTTTCAGTGCACAGGTCAACATCCAACCAACTGAGCCACACCTGCCAGGGCTTGGGCAAACCTTGAAGGATGCTAAACAGATGCTCTTAGACCTCCCTGGAGAAGCTTGATCCGTGCTCAGAGCAAGCCAGGCACCCCAGGAAGTTAAAGCCACAGGAAGGGCAAGCCAAGGAGAAGCAGAGCTGCTCGTTGAAACAATCCTCAGGTATGCTCCGCAGTTTCTCAGAGGATTCTCAGAGCAGTTTCTCAGAGCAGGATTGAGTGACCTGCTCATTAGCACACCTGCGGTGTCTTCTCTCCCTTCTCTCCACAATTCTTGGGACCTGATGCCGGAAACAAATCAGTTTAACTAAAAGAGATGTTGACAGGAAGCCAGGAAGGCTGGTCAACAACCTTAATTGCTCTAACCACTCACCCTTTAGTTGAGACATTGTTAGCTGAAGCAGCCTCCACCTTGTTTGTCCCTGTAAGTTTCTGTTATTTCCTGCCTAAGGGCTACACGTAAATTTCTGTTTATGTTGCCTAAGACGGTTTCCCCAAAGCTTTAATAAAAGGGGATGGCAGGGCCAGAGCAGGAGTAGTTCTCCCACTACAGTTGGACTACCGCCTGGCCCCCCATATCGCCAAGCTGAATTTCTTCAAGTCTCAGGTCTCCTTTCATTTGTGTGCGGCCCTTCTCCAGAACCCGAACCCTGAACTGGAACCCTTTCCACGAGGGACGTGAAAGAGATTCCTATAACCTAAATGTGTGGGAAAGGTTTTCTCTGGAGCTCAAGGGGAATATTACAGTGTGAAATGTTCAAGCCTATGGAAGGCAATGTAAAAGCAGTGATTAAGCAGGCAGACTAATTACAAACTAACCGGTCAGCCTCTGTGAGCCTCTGTTTCTTTATCTGTAGCATGGGGAGTCAGACTGAAGAGTCCCGGATTCAATTCAGGTCAAGGGCACATACCTCATTTACAGGTTTCCCAGCCTGGTCGGGTGTGTGTGTGTGTGTGTGTGTGTGTGTGTGTGTGTGCAGGAAGCAACCAGTAGATGTGTCTCTCATATTGATGTTTTCTTTCTCCATCTCTCCCTCTCCCTTCTACTCTCTCTAAAAATCAATGGAAAAAAGAGTGAGGATGGATAGATGATAGATAGATAGATAGATAGATAATAAATAAAAAGGGGAATGGTCAACAACCTCACCCACCTGACTTCTGTTGGTGCCACTCTGCCGAGGTCTGGGAAAAATATGGGGCAGACTTAAATGTGTGTCTCTGGAAGCCCACCTCCCACTTTCCCCAAAGCCTGACCAGTGCTCCTCTTCATGGGAGATTCAGACCAGTTCAGCCCTTGCCACCATTGGTGAGACCGGCAGCAAGCAGTAAAGAAGTTGGCTCAGCCCTAGCCAGCTTGGCTCAGTGGATAGAGCATTGGCCTGTATAGACTAAAAGATCCCAGGTTCTATTCCGGTCAAGGGCATATGCCTGGGTTGCGGGCTCGATCTCCAGTGGGGAGCGTGCATGAGGAGCCGATCAATGATTCTCTCTCATCGTTGATGTTTCTCTCTCTCTCTCCCTTTCCCTTCTTCTCTGAAATCAATTATATATATATATATATATATATATATATATATATATATATATATATATATATATATATATATGTGAAGTAGGCTCAGAGTGCCTGCGGCTCTGGGCAAGTGCAGGGCAATGAACCAGGGCCTCTCCAGACTCCTACCCCTACTGGTGACAGAGAAACACCCAACATTTCTCCCTGGGTTCCTTTATTTATTATTTATTATTATTATTATTATTATTATTATTATTATTATTATTATTTCCCCCTGGGTTCCTTTAGATAGCCCTCTGTGGAGGGCCATCTTACTTCCTCCTCAGGGTCTCTGTTAAAACAGGTGGGCGTGGCTCCCACTCACCTGGCCTCCCGGCCTGAACTCCCCCACCCCCCGCGGGCCTCAGGTGGTCCATCGCCAGCTGAGAGAAGCTGATGTTTTAATTGACTGCTGGTGCTCTCTGTGCCCAGTGAACCAAGCAAAGGCAGCGGTAGGGCCTCACCTGAGCCCATCCTCTGGCCCACACACTGGTCCCCTCACCTTCCCACCGTTCCCTTGACTTCTCCCTCCCACTTGGCCTCCTGTGTCATCCATGGCACAGTTTCTACCTTTGAGGCCTGGGCTCCCTGTGTGCTGACTGTGCTGCCCCAGACAGGGTTTGTCCAGAACAGGCCTGGGCCCAATGAAGGAATGCTTCTTTTTAAAAAAATCTTTATTAATCAAAGTATTACCAATGCCTCCCCCTTTTTTCCCCCCCTCCCCTCCATCCCCCATTCAGTTCCCGCCCCAGGCCTTCACCACCCTACTGACTGTGTTCATGGGCCATGCATATATGCATATAAATTCTTTGGCTAATCTCTCCCCGCCCCCAACCCTTTCCCTCTGATCTTCTGAGTCTGTTCCCGGTTTCCAAGCTTCTGAGCAGCAAGGCCCCTGGCGGCACTGAGGCTGCAAGGATAGTTTTAAGGCTTTGGGTGGAGAAGGCCAAGAAAGGAGATCCTCTGGGATGTGCAATTACCCAATAAACCCCATCTGCAGCTCCAAGGTGTCCTGCATTTCCTCAGGGCTGCTCAGATAAGAGCTGACAGGAAGATCCCTGCAGCTCTCGTCTCAGAGTCTAGTGTACACAACTCAGGGATGATTAACCCTAGGCCTGGGGGGAAGGGATGTGCAGACCGAAGGCCCTCACACAAAATGACCAGTCTCCGAACTCAGGGGGAGCAAGGCATTGTCTGCTCCAAACAAAGCTCATGCCGTGAGACCCTGAGACCAGGGCTCTTGCTAACGGGGACTCCCGCCATGAGGCAGAAATGTTCTTTCTGCATTTCTACCCTCTTTATCTTTCCCACCTCTTAGGAGAAACAAACCTCCATGCTGGCACTGAACTGGGTCCCAAAGAAACCAAACTAACTCTTCTTGGAGACGCCTGGATCTGGTTTGAGCCTGCCCCCACTCCCAGACTTCCCAGAAGACCCCTCTGGCCACTTTCCCCTGCAGGCCTTCCTATGGACTAGCGTACCTTCCTTCCTCCTTTGGGCCACAGGGCTTCCTCTCCATTCCAGCTCGCCATTCATCCTCCAAGCATCCCAGGAAGTGGGAACCACCTATCGGGAGGATCAGATTCCTGGGAGGTGACAGTTTCACCTCTGCCTCACTGCTCATCAGCCCTCAGCCCTCACCTTGGCAGAGAGAGCTGACTTCCTCTGTTTTTCAGGCCTGGAGAGGCAAGTGTAAGGGGAGATGAAGAGGGGGAGGGCTAGGAGGAGGAACCAGGCCTGGAAAGGGGCAGGTCCAGTCCCAGAGTGGGAGGAGGAGACAGGCACTGAGGGTGTTGGCTAAAGACCACAAAGTGAGGAAGGAGAGGCGTGCAGGGACCCAGATATCTCAGGCCCTCTCAGTGCCTGGAGCAGGTGGGGGCAGGGGCAGGGGCATCTGGGAAATAGGCCTCCCTCTGGAATTCAGCGTTGAGCTGCTGTGTAAGTCACTGGCTCCTCGGATCTACAAGACAACAGTGAGGACTACAAAGGAGCAAGTGCCACACTCTGAAAGGACAGCTTCCGGTGAGTATGACACGCTGCTGGAGGCATGGGTTGCTGGTCTCAATTTCTGGCTCTTTCTTGCTACTTGGGCTCTAAAATAGCAAGAGGGAGGTCTGAAGGTTGCTTAGAGACCTAGGAGTCAGCAGAGTAGCTGGGGCAGGAACACAGCTACAGAAATGGGGGAATATCAAGGAGTGATGTCAAGGCCAAGGCTCAATTGGAAGTAGCTTTGCTTGATGTACCCGCTACCTGATCTCCCAGTTGCCCTGTGCAATCCTGGGTACTCCAGAAGCTCCACAGCTGGTGACTCTTCGCCATCCCCCGCGCATGGCTCACCTCAGGAGCCCTGGCTTTTGTTGGGACCAGGAAAGGCTTGATTCAGGTTCCGAGTATCGCAGCTGTCTGGGGGCTCCTTGCTTCCCTGACGGCAACCCTGAGGGCCCCTCTCCCCCATGAAAGAGACCCTAGAACTTATTTTAAAAAGTGACCTGCAAACCAGGTCACACGCAAACCAGGACTCACTTCTGAGGCTGGGCAAGTCTAAGGGGAAATTCCATGGGGGCAATTGAGTTTTGCTGGGACTGACAGAATCTTCCTGAAGTCCCATGCTCATTATCAACAGGCATTTTTTTAGCAGCGTCTGTGCCCCTGGGGAGTTTATAGCAATAAAGTTCAAGTTCCGTTCCCCATCCCCACCCCCCCGAAACTCATGGGAATGGGATAATGGGGTTACTGGGAGGTTCAGGCCCAGTTGGGGCAGATGAGAGAGGCCTTCTGCAGGAGGTCCCTGTGGGTTGGCATCCACAGAAGGAGAGGGAATTAGAGGGAAGCGCATGGCTGGGAGAAGGAAGAGCGGGAGGTACCACTGTGCAGCGGAGGAGATGACAGGCGCAAAGTCACTGCACACCTAGTAATGCTGGGGACCGCCCAGGACTTGCCCTTCTCCTCCAAGCCGGGTGGTAGGGGGCACATTTACCCTTCTTTCAGGGTGTTTCTTCTGGATTTAATGCGCTGTCACGTCACTCTCTCCCCAGCCACGCACCATGTGGTTGGCCCTGGTGCTGCTGCTGCCCACAGCGCTGCACCTGAGCCTGGCAGAGCCTCCCCAGGAGATGGTCCCTATTTTCCGCCTCATTCAGCTGGGCCCCTGGAGAAGCGGGGCCAACTACACCACCACCACCACCACCACCACCGGCTCGCCCTGCCAGGGGCCCTTCGCCGTGGGGGACACGACCTTGACTCTGGCGAACCGCAGCCTGGAGCACCTGCCCCGCTGCCTGCCCCGCGCGCTGCGCAGCCTGGACGGCAGCCACAACCTGCTGAGCGCCCTGAGCGCGTCGGAGCTGGGCCCCCTGCCAGAGCTGCAGGTGCTCAATCTGCACCACAACCGCATCGGCGCGCTGCGCTGGGACCCCGGGTGGCCCGCGGGGCTGCACACGCTGGACCTCAGCCACAACCGCCTGGCCGCCCTGCCGCCGTGCGCCCGGCCCGTTCTGGGCAGCCTCCGGGCCCTGGAGCTCGCCAGCAACCCCCTGCGGGTGCTGCCCCTCGGGGCCTTGGCCTGCTTCCCCGCGCTGCGCCTGCTCAACCTCTCCGGCACCGCGCTGGGCCAGGGGGGCATCGCCGACGCCACCTTCGCGCCCCTGGCCTCCCTGGAGGTCCTGGACCTCAGCGGCACGCTCCTCAAGCAGGGTGAGTCCAGGGCGCCCCGGGTTTTCAGAGGCGGAACCAGTGTCTTGGAGGGGTCGCTCCCGGTGCTGCTCATAGATGACCCCGCCTAGATTGCCTGAGCCACGTGTGCACCCCGTCCCAAGGGCCATACAAGCATTCATTCCTTGAGTCCCAAGAGGAGGGAGCTATTATCTCGGTGTCGCCTAGGAGGAAGCTAATGCCCAGGAAGGTGAATCACTGGCCCGAGGTCTCACAGCTCAGTCAGTGGTGCCTCCAAACAATTCTGGATCCAGAGCCTAACCCTTTAGCCATGCGGTTCTACTGCGACCCAGCAGATGGGGGAATGCTGGGAGCAAGGGGAAGCGGATGCTTTGCTTTGGCCGGATCAGAATCAAGCAGGCAGGTCAGGGAAGCAGCTGATGCTCTTGGGGATGAATTCAGGGACTTTTCTACTTGGTTGGCTAAAATTCCGCTGCAGTTACTGACCCTTCAAGGGAGACACAGGAGGAGGTGAGAACACCAGTTCTCCTGTCCTTGGTGTGTTCTGATTTTGGCTCGGAAGATTGGTATTATGATGATGATGATGATGATGATTACTATTTAAATACATTTTATTGATTTTTTTACAGAGAGGAAGAGAGAGAGATAGTTAGAAACATCGATGAGAGAGAAACATCAGCCGCCTCTTGCACACCCCCTCCTGGGGATGTGCCCGCAACTAAAGTACATGCCCTTGACCGGAATCGAACCTGGGACCTTTCAGTCCTCATACAAACGCTCTATCCACTGAGCCAAACCGGTTTCGGCTGGTCTTATTATTTTTAAAAACACTCCATGTGTCTGTAATCGCCTGTCCCACCATAGACAAAGGAAGAAAAGAGGGAGAACTGGACACAGAGGGGAAGGGGCACATTCTCCCTGTAGTGTTAGGAGAACCACAAAATTAGGTTTCTGGGCCTCCTCCACTTTGCCCTTCTCTCCTCCTTCCTTGCCTTCCTCAAGTATGTCCCCACTCCTGGTAGCCATCGGAGTGAAGTTGGGGTATTTCTGTGTGGAGTTTAACAAGAGGGTAGGGCAGCAGTGGAGTTGGAGACAGTGTCCTTGGGTTCAAGTTCTGGCCTGTCCCTTCCTAGCTGTGTGGCCTTGGACCAATCATTCTCCTCTCTGGTCTCAGTAGTCTCAGCTGGAAGGAAGGAAAGGAGGGAGGGAAGGAGGGAGGGTCTTTCAGGTGATGTAGCCCATAGTTCTGAGCTTCCTAAAGCGTCCAACTGTGCCCATACTCAGCAATGACCTTCACAGTTCATGTTGTCACTCTCGGTGTTTCCATAACTCCCTGCCAGCCTCCTAGGTTGGTGGCTTCCTGGTAGTGGGCAGTCTCCCCTGTGTGTTTCAGTTCAGCCGAGGTGGATCCAAGACCTGCCCAAGCTCACATCCCTCCACCTGAGGAAGATGCCCATGCTGAGGAGCCTGGAGGGGGACATTTTCAAGACGGCCTCTGATCTGCAACAACTGGACTGCCAAGACTCCCTTGCACTTACCTCTGTCCAGACACGTATCTTTCAAGACACTCCTCGCCTACAGCTCCTGCTGCTGCAGAAGTAAGTGTTTCTGCGTCACATGAATGAATTTTGCCTGTTCCCTTATGCTGAATAGGTGTAACTATCTTATAGAGCTCCTTCTGGTCCTCTCTGGGGTTTTGTTCTTCTTCATCCTTTGGATGGTATCTTGGGCAGGTCCCAAATAGTCCATCTAGTCTGAAAACCATGCAACTCAGTGCTGTCCAGAGTAATAGTGAAACCCCGAACTCTCATGCATGTAAGGTTTCCTTTAAGCCCAGATGAGAAACCTGCAGTGGAAGAAGGGATGAGGGCATTAGGTTCTTTTCTATTTCTCCATCCATCTGCTTCTCCATGAGGGAAGTCAGCCATTCCAGAGGTCTAGGGAAGAAAGATAAGAAGGTAGAAAGGTCCTACTAGTGGTCAGGGCCGAGGGCTGTTATCTTCTGGCCTGTTGATGTCATAAGTGTCACTATATCCACCTCCTTCCTGACTCCTAACAGGAAGGACAGTGTCCCTTTGATGATGATCCCAGGCCACCTCCTTTCCCGGGAACCCATACTGGGACCTGGGAAGTGGGCACTTTTCTCCATCACCACTCCCACTGTAACCATTTCTCTCTTTTCTCTGATAGCTCTAGACCCAACAGAGTACTTCACTTTGGGGCTTGTCAAAAGGGACAGGAGATAGAATATGCAGAGCACTTAGTGCCTGGCACCCGGTGTGTGCTCTATAACAGTGCAGATGATGGTGGTTGTGATGAAGGTGATGGCAATGATGAAAGTGCTGATGATGGTGGCAGTGATGATTGTGATGTTGCTGGTAATGTGATGCATTGGTGACAGTGATGGTAATCCTATATAGTAAAAGGGTAATATGCAAATGACGGGTCGCTATGATATGCACTGACCACCTGGGGGCAGACACTCAATGCAGGAGCTGCTCCCTAGTGGTTAGTGCACTCCCACAGGGGGAGCACCACTCAGCCAGAAGCCGGGGTGATGGCTCATGGCTAGTGAGTATTGCGCTGGTGGTGGGAGCCTCTCCCACCTCTGCAGCAGTGACATCCCCTGCGGGCCCCCAGACTGCGAAAGCCCGCAGGCTGGGCTGAGGGACATCCCAGTGCATGTATGTTGTGCACTGGGCCTCTGGTGGTGGTGATAATGATGGTCGTGGTGATATGCTGATGAGTGATAACTCTGTCTCAGATCTTCTTTTGAGCTTTTGAGCAATGCAGCATTGTGTATAAGGAATAAGATGTGGAGCCAAACTGCCTGGGCTCAAATCCTGACTCCACCACTTACTGGCTGTGTGAGTTGGAGCACTTACTTAACACCTTTATAGAGCAGCTTCTCATCTGTGAGATGATGACAAAAAGAAAGTCCAAGGTCATTAAGAGTTTTGCCCAAAGTGAGATCATCTAATGCCTGACAGCATGGGCTTCCATACGTCACTATGACTCTGGGCACAGTTTTGAGCTGATGGTAAAAGCCTGCCCTAATTTATTTTCTGTGTGTTTCAGCTGCAACTTGAGTTCCTTCCCTCCTTGGACCCTGCATTCTTCCCAGGTTCTATCCATCAACCTCTTCGGCAACCCCCTTACTTGCAGCTGTGAGTTGTCCTGGCTCCTCAAGGATGTCAACAGGACTATCCTGAGCAGGTAACACATTCACAAAATAGGTGACTGGGGGGTGAGGCTCAGCCTCCCGGAGCTGAAGTCTGGCTCACTCACATAAGCAGGCTGGGCAGGCTGGTGGTGTAGAATGGGGTGGATAGCCCTCAGGCAGTCACTTTCAGGGACGCAGAGGGGCAGAGAGCGTGGGGGAACGGACCTGGGGCGCAGAGGGGAAGAGAGCATGGAGGAACAGATCAGGAGGTAGGGCTCATCACTTCCACTCACATCTACGCTTAGCTGCAAGGGAGGCTGGGAAAATGTAGTCTAGCTGCATGCCAAGTAGGAAAAAGAAATGGGCTAAATGAGCAGTTGACTTAACTCTACAAAAGCAGTGTTATCATTGCCCCATTTTATAGATGAGCAGCTTGGGGCGCTACTTGCTTAAATCCATGCAACTTCTGGGTGGAGGAGGCAGAATCTGTCTTCGTCCAAAACTGTGCACTTAACCACTGGGTTCCCCTAAACCCCCCAAATGGAGCCTGGCTTCCTCTCTCGCTCAGTCCAAGGCCAGTGGGCTGACAGAGCTCCTGCGGGACAGACGGAAGGCCCACAAAGACTTCTCGCTGGCTCTTAGCTGAAAGAGCCATTTCTGCAGTGGAGAGCCATGCCCAGGTTGGCCCAGGTGGGTTGGGAACACCTCCCCCAAACCTCCACCAGCTCGTTTTGGGAGACATCCCCCCCATCCTGTGGGGGTTCTTGTCTCACCTCCAAGCCAAGCCTGGAAACAAGTGAGGCTCAGTCTGTCCTCTTCTCCCCTGCATGTGGATTCCAAAGACAAGCACCCAGGCCCTTTGCAGCGAAGGGTCTCACTTCGTATCAATGACGAGGTTGAGAGGACAGGCTCTTCACCCACTTAACACTGTTCATTTTGGCTGCATTTCTTGACCTGTCTGGGCCTCTCCCTCCTCCTCCTCCTCCCCCTCCTCCCCCATTTCCTCCTCGTCTGTAAAATAGGGATAATAGTGCCTCCCTCATAAGGTAGTGCAGACTGAATTCACTGACCCAGGAAGGTGCTCACCTTTCATGTGGCAAGCACTCAGAAACTATGTCAGCCAGTCTGAGTATTGTGACCAGTACCTGTAGCCAGGAGACAGACAGGGGAGAACACTCAGAGAATCTGGACTGCCTGCCCTTCGCAGTGCTCGCCCACGTTTAGGCTCTGCCATTTGCTGGCCCTGCTGACGTGAGCTTCCATTTCCTCCTCTGCTTCCTGGGGGCCTCCTCCACAGCTCACCCTGAGGGCAGAGAGGTGATGCGCGCCTACCCTGTGCCTTGGGGCTCCTGTTGACAAGGCTGAGCAAGGGGGGTTGTCTGCACTGAGTACTCAAAGGCCAGCGCAGATTAATGCCAAATACCTCCTAACCGGTGGACCCCTCCCCTAGGGCGGCAGACACGGAGTGCACACCCGCTGCAGGATCCCGCGGGGCCCTCTCCGCCCCTCTCCCGCTGTCCCAGCTGCCCGGTGTGTGCCACGGGGACCAGAGCACCGTCCTCCTGGATCCCAGGCCACCCATCTCTGCGGGCCCCACCTACGCGACTTCTACACCCGGTCCCTTCGCCCCGCAGCTGAGCACAACCCCCTCCTCTCCAGCTGGGGGAGGCCGACGGACTGTCACCAAGGCGCCCTCCCACGCTGTGAGCACCCCCGCGTGGTCCACCGCCGTCTCCATAGCGGGTCCCAGGAACTCCAGCGCTGCCAGCCGGGCCTGGACAGAGCACGAACGCACTGCCCCGCCTGGCCCGGATCCTCCTGTTTCAGCTGCCTCCATCCCGCCCGCCAGCAAACAGCGTGGGCTCCCCGCTGCCTCCCGGAACCCTCTGAGCATCGCCCGGCACTCCCGGACGACACAGGCCACCCCGCAGCCTCCCCACCCGAGTCCTTCCGAGGAGGGTGGAATTCCAGTCTTGGTTTTGGACGACTCTAGTGAGGAGGAAGAGGAAGAGGAGGAGGAGGGGAAGAAGGAGAAGGAGAAGGTGGTGAGTGCGCCCTCTCAGGGCGTGGCCTGTGATTACCACCCGTGCAAGCACCTGCAGACGCCGTGCGCCGAGCTGCAGAGGCGCTCCAGGTGCCAGTGCCCCGGCTTCAGCCAGGAGGACGCCGTGCCGGAGCCTCCCAAGCTGCAGGGGGTGTCGGAGGTCACAGACACGTCCGCCCTGGTCCGCTGGTGCGCCCCCAACTCGGTGGTGCGCAGCTACCAGGTCCGCTACTCGCCGGAGGGCGGGCCCGGGAACCAGTCCGCCGCCGTGGGGGACATCTATGCCACGGCGCGGCAGCACCCGCTGTACGGGCTGTCCCCGGGCACCACGTACCGGGTGTGCGTCCTGGCGGCCAACGGGGCCGGGCTGAGCCCGACGCAGGCTCCGGGCCGGCGGGAGCCGTGCGGCTCCTTCACCACCAAGCCCAGCTCCGTGCTCATCCTCGCGGGGCTGAGCGCCGCGGGCGGCCTGCTGCTGGTCAGCACCCTGGTGCTGTCCGCCTGCCTCTGGCGGCACGGCCGCAGGCAGAGCTACCCCGCGCACCTGGTGGCCTACAAGAACCCCGCCTTTGACGACCCGTTGAAGCTGCAGACCTTCAGTTAGCCCGCTTTCCCCTCCCCAGACGAACTGGAGCTGAGGAACTGGTGCAGAAAAGAAGATACCGAGGATCCAACGCGTCCCCATCAGTTCTGAGCATCTGTCATTCCAGAGAAGCCAAGGACTGCTCCCCCACACACAGAAACTGGCCACGTCCAGTCTTTCAGTCCAAGGAACTTCTCTCCCTGTGACTCCACTGGGTCTGTTTCCAGAAACGTGATGGCCCACGTCAAAGCACCCCTCTTGGACCTGGGCATTCTTGTGTGGGTGTGTTTTTTATTTTTTATTTGTGCCAGTAATTTTTTATTATAAACAATAGGATATCTAGGCTTGTGAAACAGAAATAATATTGATAACGGGATACAAATAAATCCCAGTAATACTTTACTGTGTCAAACTTATATTGCTTTTTAAAGATATATTTATTTAAAACATTTCTCCTGGAATGAAGCTATTCTTAAATCCTCTCCACACAACCCCCTCTTTTCCCTTAGTATTGATTTGTCTGCATTGATGAGATCCAAGGATAGAAATTTGTATGGATCAGATACATTTTGAACTATTTTCTGTCTTTATTGTGTGTGTTGTTTGTTCAGTACCGTTTCCCTGAAAACAAGACAGTGTCTTATATTATTTTTTTCTCCCAAAGATGCGCTAGGTCTTATTTTCAGGGGATGTCTTATTTTCGGGGAAACACGGTAGCAATCAGTTCTCCTCAGTGTCCAGAACTGTGTGTAGAAGTAGGAAAAGATAAATGCTATAATCCAGCCTCCTATACTGTATTAGAAATGACATTCTCAAGCCGTTTTAGGAAGTTGAGGGTTTTATCCTAAGCGAAATAAGTTCCCTTGTGGTCAGGCTCTGGCAGGGCTCGTGTTTGTTATTCAAGGAATCAACCCCACTGGGTTCTTAACCTGAGAACTGGGGTGAGGGAGAAGAGCACTGGTTTCTTTGTTGCATTTCAGGATATGGTAAAACGTGCTCCTAGCTTGATAGGCCCTTTGCTCATTTTTAATTGGATTGTTTGGTGTTGAGTTTTATATGTTCTTTATACATTTTGGATAGTAAAAATATCAAATGTAACACTGGTGAACATGTTCTGGTTGTCTTTTAATTTTGTTGATTTTTTTTTCCTTTGCTGTGCAAACACTCTTTAGTTTGATATAGCCCAATTGTTTATTTCCGCCCCTTACCCAACAGGGGAAAATATTGCTATGAGAAATGTCTGGGATATTACTTACTGCCTATGTTTTCCTTGAGGATTTTTATGGTTTTATGACTTAACATTCAAGTCTTTTATCCATTTTGACTTTATTTTTGGTGTGGTGTAAGAAGGTGGATTTAGTTTCATTTTTCACTTAAAAAAACATATTTTTAACAACAACAACAAAAAAAAACGAGCAAAAGAAAACCTTAAGGCTCTTGCTAGAGGCCAAAGCATTTCTCTTCTATCTTTACCTCATTTTAAGTTTTTTTACTCCTTTGTCAAATATTCATTGACCATAAAGGCCAGGATTCATTTCTGGGCCCTCTATTCTGTCCCATTGATCTACATGTGTTTTTATGTCAGTAGCAAGCTGTTTTGATTACTATGGTCTTGTAATATACTTTAATATCAGGTAGCATGATTCCTCCAACTTTGTTGTTTCTTAGGATTGCTATAGCTATTTTGAGGTCTTTTGTTCATTATAGCATTATTTACATTAGCCAACATTTGGAAGCATCCCAAGTACCCATTAGATGAGTGGATAAAAAAAGCTGTCGTATGTTTACACAGTGGAATATTACTTGGCCGTTAAAAATAAGGAAATCTTATCTTTTGGGTCAGCATGAATGGACCTGGACAGTATTATGCTAAGTGAAATAAGCCAGTCAGAGAAAGACAAGTAGCATATGATTTCACTCAAATGTGGAATCGAATAAAATAAGCTAACAAACAAAAAACAGACTCGTTGATAGAGAACAGACTGGTAGCTGTTAGAGGGGAGGAGGATGCAGGGCTGGGTGGAAAGGGTGAAGTGATTAAGCAAAAAAGACCCCATAGACAACAGCATGATGATTGCCAGATGGGAAGGGAGTGAAGGGAGGTGGAAGAGGATAGAGGGTAAATGATAATGGAAGGAAACTTGACTTGGGGTAGTGAACACCCAAAACAATATAAACAATATACAGTTGATGTGTAATAGAACTGTACACCATTAACCAATGTCACCCCTATATATTCAATAAAAAAAAAAACACTCTTCTGGGAACATCTGTGAAACACAGGAGAGGTGGTCCTTTTTAAAGCCAGTGTTTATGGCATTTCACTTAAATGGGCAAAGGAATTGCGAACTTATTTTTTTTTAAGTAAGCATAACGCATTCACTTTCAGGAAGGTTTTTTAGAAAGCAAAAGGCCTGGCCAGTGTGGCTCATTGGTTGAGCATCAACCTAGGTTTCAACTTCTGGTAAGGACACATGCCTGGGTTGTGGGCTCAATCCCCAATAGGGGGCATGCAGGAAGCCACCAATGCGTATCTCTCTCCTTAGTGTTTCTCTCTCTCTCCCTTCTTCTCTCTCTAAAGTTGTTAAAAACATATCTTTTAACAAACAAACAAACAAAAAGCAAAAGAAAACCTCAAGGCTCTAGCTAGAAGCCAAAGCATTTCTCTCCTTCCAATTGCATTAAACAATGCTGCTTGGGTGATCCAGACTCCTGCCTTCAGCCTCACCACCTCCCAGGCTAAGACTATATAGGAAGTTCCAGAAGGAAAGAACCAGCCACACACCCTTCTCTTCCCTCCCAAGGCCCTCCATTCGATTCAGTGGTGTGCCAGGCTTCAATGTGCTCCAAGCCAATGGTGGCTGAGCAGCTAGCTTGGGAACAAGGAAGCCAGGGCCAGCAGGCAACAGAGGGGTGCACTGATCAAGGATACCACCAAGAGGCTTCCCAGTTTAACACAGCTCAACAGGCTGTTTAGATCATCACATTTATTTAAATAGTTCCACATTACAGCCGAAACCGATTTGGCTCAGTGGTAGAGCGTCGTTCTTTGGACTGAAAGGCCCAGGTTCGATTCCAGTCAAGAGCATGTACCTTGGTTGCGGGCACATCCCCAGAAGGGGGTGTGCAAGAGGCAGCTGGTCGATGTTTCTCTTTCATCAACGTTTCTAGCTCTCTATCTCTCTCCCTTCCTGTCTGTAAAATATCAATAAAATATATTTTTAAAAAATAAAATAAATAGTTCCACATTACACTTGAAATTAGAACCTGGAACATCATGCAGTAACAGGCCTCCAGCGACAGCACAGACCCTGGTTCTCCTAAACATTCTCCTAAACATGCTGGTGTAGTGAGAATAAGGGCTTTTAAATCAGATGGTCTCAAACCAATTATTTTTACAATGCAAGTGCAAATGATATATCTGAATGAAGGTTATGAATCAGAAAACTTACACAACCAAGAACTGTTATATGCTATACAAACAACACAAGATGAAGATAGTGTTTTTTAGCTTTTTTTATTCTTTTAACATCTTTAACAAAAGAATATTCCCTGAAGTTTAAAAAATACAGTTTTATATTATATACAGACATCTGTGTACAGATTCCAATATCATACAAACACTGCTATGTTAGAAATACAGTGGGAAGGCATGATATAACTCACTGCCTCTTGGAGGGTGCAGGCTCATGGATATGTTTTATTACTCCAACTACTTCTGTTACTTGTCACCCTGATAAACTATTAGGCACCTGAGAGGTTGGAAGACTACTGAACATGAACTTCAATACCCTCTATTTTGATCTTTATAATCTCTTTACAAGTTTACTTCATCTACAACTAAGCTACCTTTATTGTCATTAGCCTAAATGATCAAATATTAACCATATTAACTGTTAATATGCATACCGATCAAATTAAACTTAAAGTTGTATAGCCAACTTGTGTAGGCTACATATAATTTAAACCTAGGAAATTCCCTACTGCATTGTGAGCAATCTAAATTCTATTAAAGAGAAGTGGCAATTCTCTAGTTTCCATGCTCTGGACACTACTTTCTTAAAAAATATTAAAAAATGACTGACAATAATTGGAATTGATTCCTTTTAAGTTAATCAAGAAATCTATGGTAAAAAATTCTAAATGATAGTTTTATTTGTATTTAAAAATACATTGGAAATTCTGCGTATGCCCATGATCAAGATTATTTTCAATGCACATTAAATATTGGTGACATGGTTTGATCTGACAAGTCCTTTTCAAAGTAGGGAGACTCCTGTACATTTCCACTGGCCCTGCTGCCAATGATGCATATTGCTTCCTTGCTAACGATGATGGATTCATCTGCCATTTATCACCTGAACAGTTTTCCGACCGTAATGATAATAACTGTAAGCTGATGCAACCGTGGTGAAAGCTGTAAAGCACCTTTAATGGAAAAAAAAGAAAATTTAGTTGTCAAGTAAAGATCAGTAACTGTGAGAGTGATAAAAAAAAATACATTTAAAATTATCTAAAAAGTAAAAAAGTAAAAAAATAAATTATTTATTTTTTATTTTTTTAATATATTTTATTGATTTTTTTACAGAGAGGAAGGGAGAGAGATAGAGAGTTAGAAACGTTGATGAGAGAGAAACATCGACCAGCTGCCTCTTGCACACCCCCTACTGGGAATGTGCCCGCAACCAATATACATGCCGGAATCGAGCCTGGGACCTTTCAGTCCGCAGACTGATGCTCTACCACTGAGCCAAACCGGTTTTGGCTCAAATTATTTTTAACTATAAAAATTTAACTATGAAAAATGCACTGCTTTTCCTTAAGACCTCATTAGAATTAGTAATATCAAGCAAATCTAGTTCATGAGCCCAAGAGCATAATGAGAATCCCTAGCAACTGTCATTTTCCCCCAGACATTACTCTAGATGTCTTATATTCTCACTAGAGGCCCAGTGCACAAAATTCGTGCATGCATAGAGTCCCTAGTGGCTGCCGGCTGGGGCCTCCCTTCATTCCGCCCCTGGTGGTTAGTGCACATCATAGCAAGTGGTCAAACTCCCGGTCTGTCGAACTCCTGAGGGGACACTGAACATTGGGCTTTTATATGTAGAGATATTATTTTTGCAACAGAGAAGTTGGTCACGCCGAAGCTGGTTTGGCTCAGTGGTAGAGCGTTGGTTTGCGGACTGAAAGGTCCCAGGTTCGATTCCGGTCAAGGGCATGTACATTGGTTGCGGGCACATCTCCGGTAGGGGGTGTGCAAGAGACAGCTGGTCGATGTTTCTCTCTCATTGATGTTTCTAGCTTTCTATCTCTCCTCCTTTCTCTCCGTAAAAAAATCAATAAAATATATATTTAAAAAAAAAAAAAAAGAGAGAAGTTGGTCAGGGCCATGGAACCACATTAGAACCTGGCCTGGCTTCAACTCTGGAGCCATGTGCCCTTTCTATTACTTCATTCTGCTGAGAGTGTTAGACTCTATTTTTTGAAATTTGAGTCATTTAAAATAAATGTTTTCTTTTTTGATTCTTAAGCAAACTGGCAGACTGACTCAACTTTCTCCTGGAAGCAAGATCAGTAGTGCCTCATGGCTTGTTGAATGCTCGCAGCCAACAGGGTACTTCTTAGTGTGTTGTGTACTTCTGCTCCACCAGGTGAGGTGTAGGACCATCCAGACTGTTTTTATTTGATCCCAAAGCTGTTCATGCCAGTTAAATATTCTAAATTCACACATAAGCCAATGAAAAATACATGTAGGAAAAGCTGCTGTTTTTGAGAACTAACTGGATGCTCTGGAAAGACTTGATAACCAGCCAACTTGCTAAAAACTACTATAAAGCAAGCAGGTAATGTGGCTATTAAAATACTAGAGAAAATGTTACAAAATCTGTCTTATATCACTTTAAAATAAGCAGAACATAAAAATCAGAGATGTATTCAAAGAAAAGGTGTTTGTCCTATTCAGAAGATGTAGAATTAATCAGAATCAATGTACACTTACATATCCTATATAATAAAAACCTAGGTGGCATCACGCCCTTGTGCAATGTCATCACAAGATAGCCGCCACAAGATGGCTGGCAGGGAAGGGCAGTTTAGGGCAAACAGGCTAACAGGGGAAGGCAGTTGTGGGCAAACAGGCCATCAGAGGAGGGAAGTTGGGGGCAACCAGGCCCACAGGAGAAGGCAGTTGGAGGAGACAGGTCTGCACGGGAGGGTAGTTGGGGGCGAACCAGGTTGGCAGGGGAGAGCAGTTGGGGGTGACCAGGCAGGCAGGGGAGAGCAGTTGGGGTTGACCAGGCAGACAGGGGAGGGCAAGTGGGGGCAATCAGGACAGCAGGCAAAAGTGGTTAGGGGCAGCAGAAACCAGTTTGGCTCAGTGGTAGAGCATCGGTCTGCGGACTGAAAGGTCCCAGGTTCGATTCCAGTCAAGGGCATGTACATTGGTTGCAGGCACATCCCCAGTAGGGGGTGTGCAAGAGGCAGCTGGTCGATGTTTCTCTCTCATTGACAGTTCTAGCTCTCTATCCCTCTCTCCTCCTCTCTGTAAAAAATCAATAATATATATATATTTTTTTAAATTAAAAAAAAAAAAAAAAAAAAGTGGTTAGGGGCAATCAGGCAGGAGAGTGGTTAGGAGTCAGCAGATTGTGAGAGGGATGCCCAACATCCCCTGAGGGGTCCCAGACTGGAGAGGGTGCAGGCTGGGCTGAGGGACACTGCCCCCCCCCATACACACCCCCCCCAGTGCACAAATTTCATGCACCAGGCCCCTAGTATTTTAGAAAAGGTTTAATGTGTGCATAATTTCTAAAGCTTTTTTAGCTTAACTGACTGGTTAACCAACCATTTTCTGGCTCAGACTGCATCAAGCAAGAAGGTTTTAATTATAGAGTTGCAGTGCTTCAATACCAGTGTGACACATCCAATCTCTGAGTTTGAATTTGACACCTTTAAAGGCTACAATAAGCAAAATAAAATAAAATTCAAAACCCTTTCTCTAAGTTTCCCTCCCACAATGGCTCTTTCACTAGGCTGGACATACTTCCCTGCCCACTCTCCTACACCTGACTTTGTATAGGGTCTGCCCTTCACCAAATGGCCTCCCCTTAGTCTCTCCCTGTATAAAATCCACTCAGACCTCATGGCTCAAATGGCACTTCATCCCTAAAACTGTCCCTCTTCTTTCCACCTGGAAATGGCTTCCTTCCTCTGAAATCTCAACATATCATCTGTACCTCTGATCCCCTGTAACTTGCATGAAAACTCCTCAGGTATAACTTCTACACCCCATATTTTATAGTAAGCTTTTTAAGAATAGTATCAACCATAGAATACAGCCCATAGCTTTACCTGGTTGGTGCTCAATCAACACTGTAAGAACCAAGTAATTCTAGGACTATCACAATAAGCCATTTGGTTGACATTCTCACAGGGTAATACTAAATTTAGCTTACCACAGTACTGGAAGATAAAAGCCGTGAGCATAATTGAAAACCGGAGCTCCCAAAGAAGCTGCTACCAAGATTAACTGGACTGCTGTGTTTACCTAAAATAAATAAATAAATAAAATAATAAATAAATAAATAATAAGATAAACCATCCATGAACAGTGCCAACCAGATCCTGTTTCAAGCTCACAAGACAGAGTAACACAACATACGTCATGTTTAATGTTCTAATATTCCTGCCAAAGAAGCTGGCATTCACACAACTGGCCCATTTGTCTGCACAGCTGCTCTTCACAGCAAAGAGAAGGGCAACTGTCAGAAAATACCACTATCTTGAATTTCCATAGCAATTCAATGTGATTCAAAGCCCTTTGCTTTTTATTTCAGCCATTAAAAGAGCCAGGGGAATACGGAAATAATTTCACAGATGACAGGGTAATGCAATTAGTAAAGTGACTTGCCCATAATCATAGCAGGTTACACATCTGAACCTGGAATCCAGATTTGCCAGCACTTCATTCAGTGCTATCGCTTGCCTGCCTGTCAAACTCATGAGGTTAGAACCCTGAAATGCACTCATCTCCATGAGAGGCTCTTTGGAGGAAATGAGATTCCCTACCCTAAAAGACAGCCAGGAGGACAAAGGAAGCAGCAGAACCAGAAAGACACTGAAGACTCCTACTCTACACACCGTGAAAGGTGTCTGGGGGGAGTGGGTGACAGGGAATCAGCAGGGATGTGCCTAGAGGACTGCACCTATGTTCTATCATCCATTCTGCAGCCAATTACAAGAATTCTACTTTGTTTTAAAAACAAATAATGAAAACTGTCTGGAGAACTTCTTGCAAGATCAAGGATTTTGAGGTATTTGTCCCTCCACTTCTTTAAGCCACTTCCTATCTGTATCAAATTACTATGATACAAATATAAGTCACCTGAATTTAAAAAATAAAAAATAAAGTAAAATTGCACATATATAAAGTTCCACCCAGGGAATTTCTAATTTGAAAGTAATCATCCCCCTGGCTGGTGTGGCTCCATTGACTAGGGGTCGTCTTGTGCAAGGAAAGGTTGCTGGTTTGATTCTCAGTCAGGGCTCATGCTCCAGTTTCAGGATTGGTCCCTGGAAGGGGGCATGTGGGAGGCAGCCAATTGATGCTTTGCTCTAACATCAATGTTTCTTTCTCTCTCTCTCTCTCCCTCTCACCCTAAAATTCAGTAAAAGTATTTATTAAATAAATTTTAAAAATAATAAATATGTAAATCTGTCTCAGAGATAACAGGCATCCCCAGCCTAATAAACTGCCACCTCAAAGGATGGGACACAAGAATAAGAAGAGCAAACTTATCAAGGCCAAAAGGAAAATAAATGTGCCTTGAGAGCCATTAACAGTGTCCTCTCTGGGTGCAAAGATTGGCATACAGCTATAATCCTGAAGTGGCTCGCTTAGGAAAATGGGATGAAGACTTAGGATAGCAGTTGTTTATGAAATTGTGAATAAACTTTCTCCTATTGCTTTGCATGTAACACTCAAGCTTGAAAAGGAAACAACCTTATTATAAGTTGTTTTCACCAAAGGGAGGTGGGTAGTGAAACCAGAAAGGAACCCTCATAACTTCTTTGTGTCTACTTTCCCTACATGGTGGCCCTATTCTCTCATCTTAAATTCTCAGACCACCAACACAAAACACAACACATATACTAAAAATTACAAAGGCTTTGAGAACAAAAATACCCACTACAGTCAATGCATTTAAGTTTGTCTCATTTTCAACTGCTCCAGACTGAGGTTTATATTCATTGTGTGTGCCTCTTACCTTGCTGATGAAGGTTGGTTTTAACCTAGCAGTAGCATAGCAAGGATTGAAATACTTAGAAAGTGTTCGCTGGTAGAGGACAAAAAAGATAAAAGTTTACTCAATTTAGCATTCAATTTCAAATAAACATTTTGTTATTATATGTACGTAACAGTTACTCAACGCTTACCACAGGCCTAACTCTATGCTACAATAAGCCCTTTATCTGCACATTCTATTTTCCTAAATGAGTATGGTTACATTCTTTATAAATTATACATGGGTTACTGAAAAGAAATTTTAAAAACCAACACGATAATTGTCATAAAATGTCTCTTTCTACTAAAAAATTCAATAAATTTCCCTTATTACTATTTCCTTTTGCAGACTAAAAACACAAAATAAATAAAATACTGCTATGTTCACTGAGTTGGGAGCCAAAAGATGAGGTCATTATGCTATGCTTCTGTGCTCAAATATTTGTAAAACCAATAAACAAATATACAAATTAACCATCCCATGCTCATACAGCTGTGATTTTAAAAATCAGTTCTAGACAAGCCATAGTAGTGGCTCAATTAGATAGCAAAAAAGGGCTTCATTGTGCAAACACTCTTAAAAGAGCTTGGGTGGCCAAAGCCGGTTTGGCTCAGTGGTAGAGCGTCGGTCTGCGGACTGAAAGGTCCCGGGTTCGATTCCGGTCAAGGGCATGTACATTGGTTGCGGGCATATCCCCAGAAAGGGGTGTGCAAGAGGCAGCTGGTCGATGTTTCTCTCTCATCGACGTTTCTAGCTCTCTATCTCTCTCCCTTCCTCTCTGTAAAAAATCAATAAAATATATTTAAAAATAAATAAATAAAATAAAAAAAAGAGCTTGGGTGGGGGTAGCTGGTCTGGGTTTTAAGGTGCAGTTAATTATGTATCAACTGAAAGGATTTGGACTTAAAAGAAAAACATGTCTGTTTTACCTTTTTTTCCTGTTTTTGTTGCATTTTAAAAAATTTCTTTATTGATTAAGGTATTACATATGTATCCTTATTGTCCCATTAACCCCCATCCTTATCATGCCCCCACCCTCCTGTTGTCTGTGTTCATTGATTAGGCTTATAAGGCATGTCTGTTTTAAATTGATTATTCTGTGTTCACTGAAAACTACTAAACCAAGATGACAGTTAATGTGTTTTTTTAAAAAATTCTTGGCAAATAGATTTCTAAAAAATAACTTCCATAAATTATGCCCATAAAGTGAAACTCAGTATACAGCAGAGTGAATATTTTTTCGCTTAAATGCTAAGTAGTAATAAAAGAACATTTTCTTTCAAACAAACTCACCGGTTCTGGAAGAGTTCGATATCTGACATAAAAAACAGCAACAATCAACATTATATCTCTTGAAATTATCATATAAGTAAGTGGAACTGAAAATCAAAAATAAAATAATTTTGGTTGGGATTTTAAAATCACTAAGATATTACACATACAGTGAAGCCTTACCATAAATGGGTGTTTTTCAGAAGTAAAAGTTTTCATTTTTTTATAAACATCTATTGAAAGTTTAGGATCCTTAAAGTGAACCACTGATTTTTATCTTTTTTTTACATGAACTCAAAACAAAGTGAAAAGAAACTATGGCTTTCAAAGTCTAAGTTTGCCTTTCAGAATGCTGACCTTCTAGGCCTCCTTTTCTTGCACATGCTCTAAGCTGCAGTTAGTTATCAGTGTCAGCTTTACTCAGCTCTAACCACTTCTGTTATTTAGCTTTGTAAGTTTGGGGGAAAAGACCACCACGCTCACTATAAGTACATGGGGTTAAAATAGTAATGAGATTGGAAGGGATGTCAGGGCTCAAATCATACTGGCGTCTCAGCACCTCTGACTGCTTGTTTCTGCATTCTAGGTAACTTTATAATAAACAATAAAATTTGCTATATGTACCACCTGTGAAGAAACAAAATGTTCTCATTCTTATCTGAGCCAGTTCCTACCCCAACAATTGCTATTTTTTTCTCCTGCCCCATTCATTCAGTGAATTCTAACTACACATGAATTAAACTTATCAATACTTTCTCCTTATTCCTAAGATTCTACAGCAGGGCCCCAGAGGCAGAGCCAGCAGATGGATATTGTAGATGGATGCCAAGGATCCCCTGCTACTCCCTTGAGGGATTAGAATGGGAGGGCAGAGGACTTGTTTCACTTTATGTCCTTCAGTGCTGCAGAAGTCTTAGCCATGAACCTGTATCAATTTCAGAAGGGGAAAATTATTTTTTTTAAAGGAGAAAAAATCCAGGGGCTAAAACACAGTTCAAAACGTTACAATTACTAAAATAATCACTCACTGTACATCCCCATTTCCATAATACTTTCAAACAGCTCTTTTGTGAATTACTTTTGAGGCTATACTGAAGGTCCTTTCTAGCTTTGACATTCTGTTGATTTTGCAACTTGAGAAAAATCTGACTAATGAATCACAGATTTAAATTTTAAATCTCTGCTGTCACAGCTATGATGTAAGTGTTGATCCCCGGCCTAGAACTGGATGACAAGACTTCTCCAAAGTGGTTCTCTACACAATTCATGGCATTTGGAACACACAGGTGATACAGTTATGTGCACCAAGTAACAAAAGCCAACCTGCCATGATTTTCAGGGACATTTTTGTGACTGTACAACAAACTTTTCATAGCAATGATTAGCTAGCACCATCTAACAGCAACCAGATTTTAAAATGCAGCAAACTCACGCAAAATTATATATAATAAATCTCCTAAACATAACTTCAAACAAAAATAAGCATATTTCATCACCATGGGGGAAAAAGAAATATGCCTTAATCCTAAATAAGAGATTTCAGCAGAAGAGGAGATATACTGCAAAGACTGGGGTCCAAGTTATATTAACTACCAACATTATAATTTACTAAGCATTGTTTTAAATATTTCTTATGTATTAAGAATACCAGAAAAGAGAACCAAGAAAACATAAGGTAGAAAATTACCAAAGATATAAACAATTTTCAGAATTGGAGTTTTCAGACTAAAGGGGACTCCTTAATACCCAGAACAATGAAAGACCCACACCAAATTTGAGTATATAGAACATATACCACTATAAAATTTCAGAACTACAAGGACAATGAAAAGATCCTGGGACTCAGCTTCCATTAATATATGACTAAATCATTCAGAACAATCCTTCTGCTAATATAACTAAAGAATAATAATAATAATAATAATAATATCCTGAAAGCTGCTTACAATAAGCTAAGAAAGGGTCAGGCTAATGCCTGTTAGAGTGAGAACTCAAAAAAAAAAAAAAAAAAAAAAAAGGTCTAAATACTCAAAGCCATTGTCCCTACTCCTAGGACACAAGACACAAAGTTGAATAGAAATTTTGGCAGTCTCAGATGATCTGGGGGACAGCAATCAAACCCTCAAGGCTGAGGTCTGATAAAGGACCTCATAGCTTTGAGCTGGGGTCTGAAGGACTATCCCCTAGGATTGGGAGAGGAGATGGTATTAAAGCTTTATGGAGAATGTCTCACCATCTGACAATATAGGACAGGGGTGGGAAACCTTTTTCTGCCAAGAGCCATTTATAACAACATTCTCAGGCCATACAAAATTATCAACTTAAAAATTAGCCTGCTATATTTGCTCAAACATTTAATTAATTCATCCCTAGTGCCTTGGCAGGGCCAGTACAAATGATTTCACCGGCCTTATATAGTCCCCACTGGATAGTCCCCACCCCTGATCTATGGAGTCCTAGCCTCTTAGCATTCCTAAGCACCTAGCAGGACTGAACAAAAAATTTTTCTTGGAAAATGATGCCATCATCCTAAACATAAAAATATTCCTCCAAATTATTTTTCAAACATTAATATAATCATTAAACAGTCAAAAATAATCAAACTCACAAGATACCAGGAGTAAGAATCAACAGAAACAACAAATGAAAGAAACCCTCCCTCGAAAGATATGAAATTTTATTTAAATGTGCTTTTATTGATTTTAGAAAGAAAGGGAGAGGAAGAGAAAGAAAAATATTGATGAGAGAGAAACATCAACATTGATTGATTGCCTCCTGCAGGCCCCCTACTGGGGATCGAAACCACAACCCCAGCATGTGCCCTGACCAGCAGTCAAACTGGCAACCTCTTGGTGCATTGGTCGACACTCAATCCTTAAGCCACATCAGTGCAGCTCCTGCTGGGTGGCCTCAGACAGTAGCTGATCTGCATCCCATTGGAGATCCAGAAGCTAGTGTATCTAGTGGTCTGTGTGAGATGACACCAGATTTCAACTACTCTCATAAGGGACACATTCAAGAGACAGACTCAGTGAGCACCAAAGCCCCACTGGAACAAGTCCTGCCCCATAAACGTGTCTCCAGCACAGCAATTCTTCCGTTACAGACACAGCGGGTCCTCACAGCCAATTGGCCTGAAGGCCAATTCCCCCCAGTGACACCAATAACAATCAAGACTTAACTACAACAAGGCTGTACACACAGTCCACAGAGGGGTGCACCAAGAGTGTCCACCTCAGGTAACTGAGGAGGCTGACCCATTGAACCATATAGGACACCTAGCACACAAAGATATCCTACTAACTCTGGGAAGCAGAGAAAATGAGATGGTAAGGAAACAGATCACAAACGAAAGAACTGGAGAACAAACCACTGGATATAAAGTTCAAAACACCGTTATAAGGTTTTCCAAGAATTTCCTAGAAAAGGCCGATAAAATTAACAAAAACCTCAGAGAGAAGATTAAAAACAGCAAGAGAAAACCAGTTAATTACCTACAAGGGAGCACCCATACAATTGTCAGCTGATTTCTCAACAGGAACTACGCAGGCCAGACGGGAGTGGCAAGAAATATTCAAAGTGATGAATAGCAAGAACCTACAACCAAGATTATTCTACCCAGCAAAGTTATCATTCAAAATTGAAGGGCAGATAAAGAGCTTAATAGACAAGAAAAAGCTAAAGGAGTTCATCACCACCAAACCAGTATTATATGAAATGCTGAAAGGTACTATTTAAGAAGAGTAAGAAGAAGAAAAAAGTAAAGAAAAAAATAATGAACAACTAATACATACCTATCTTCAAGTGAATCTAAAAATCAAGTGAATTAAAAATCTGAGAAACAGAATAAACTGGTGAATATAATAGAATCAGGTGCATAGAATGGGAGGGGATTGATAATTCTCAGGGGGGAAAGAGGGTACAGGAAGAGACTGGACAAAAATCATACACCTATGGATGAGTGGGGGGGAGGTAAGGGCAGAGGATGGGGTGGGAACTGGGTGGAGGGGAGTTATGGGGGGGGAGGAAATAACTGTAATAATCTGAATAAAGATTAAAATAAAATAAAAAATAAAAAATATAAAAGATATGTGAGAAGGTCTACATATGTACACCACGTTCCCAAGAGAAGAGAAAAATAGGCAATATCTGATGTTTAAGGATAAGAATTTTCCAGAACTAATTAATAATGTCAATCCACAGATTACAAAGCTCACTAAGACTCAGATAAATAAAAAAGAAACTAACTCATATTCACAAATATTATTGTGAAATTGTGGAAAACCAATGACAAAGAAGAAATCTTAAAAGCATTCAATGTAAAAAGTTTTCCTTAAAAAAAATACATGGATTATGGCTGGAGTGCTCAGTGATTGAGCATCAACCTATGAACCAGGAGGTCATAGGTCGATTATTGGTCAGGGCATGTACCCAGGTTGCGGGCTCAATCTCCAATGAGGGCAGGTGGAGGAGGCATGCAGGAGGCAGCTGATCAATGATTCTCTCATCGATGTTCCTATCTCTTTCTTCCTTACCCTTCCTCTCTGAAATCAATTTAAAAAAAAAAAAAAGAAAGAAAAAGGGCATGGATTAACTGTCTTCTTATTACTAATGAGAAAGCAACTGAATAAATTAAATGTGCTTAAAGAAAATTAACTACCAACCCAGAACTGTATACTCAGCAAAAATATCCTTCCAAGAAAAAAGTTAATCAGACAGAAAAAGCCAAATACTACATATGGCACCAATTATATGTGGAATCTTAAAAAATACTGAATTCAGAAATAGTAATAGTTTCCAGAAACTGGAGAATGGGAGAAATAGGAAGACAGTGGCAATGGGACAAACTTTCAGTTTTAAGATGACTAAGATATAATAATACACAGCATGGTGATAATGAAAAATAAGTAAAACAGAATAAACACTGCTAAGAGATTCACTTAAAACAGTTAGGAGGCTAGTAAGGAAGTGAGGACTATACATATCTTTCAGTTCTCAGAGCTGCTAGTAAATTGCTAAACCTGTTTCTAAACTTCAGCTCAAGACCAAGCAATAAACATCCTGGAATAACAACTGCCAAATGGACGCAGCTGGCCTTTACCTCCTTCCTTATAATTTTTGCCTCCCTCATTTGCATACTGGGACTGAACCAGTCTAAATAATTTAGAAAATGAAAACTCAAGGAAAGAGGAGGAAAACATAAAAGAACAAGATTTAATCAAGTCCTAAACTTATCAGATAAGCTCAGCAAAGCCCAAAGTTGGTTCTTTGAAGATTTACGGTAAATTTCTAAAATGCAACTGAAACAGATAAGAGTTCCTAGAAAAACATCACAACTTACAAGATACAAGATGAACCAAAAAACCTGAATCATCTTAAAATGATTTAAAGAAAAGATCCACAATCTTTAAAACTCTTCCCAAAGAAAACTCCAGGCCTAAATATCTTCAACAAGTTCTACCTAATATTTAAAGAATAACTGCGATCTTACACAAAGATCTCCCAAGAATAGGAAAGGAAAAAATAAAATAGATTCCCCGACTCATTTTATGAGATTGGTATAAACCTGATGCTAATACCTAACAAGGCTATCTGGAGAAAAGAATTCTAAGTCAGTCTCATGGATCTATATGAAATCACCAACAAAATATCAGCAAACCAAATGCAGCAATATCTTCATAATATATAACAACAAAGTTAGATTTATGTCAGAAATTTCAGAATTGTCTAACATCAGAAAATTAAGAATGCAATTCTACTACACATAAACAGCTTAAAGGGAAAAAAATATGACTGCTATAATACACAAGAAAAACATGGTAAAATTCAACATTCAATTGTAATAGAAACTCTGAGCAAATTCCTTAACCTGAAAAAGGGTATTTACAAAACCCTACAGGAAATGTCATATTTAATAGTGAAATGTTGAAAGCTTCCTTTGAGATTGGGAATAAGACACAGATACCACTCCTATTCAACACTGTACTGAGCAGTGGAGTAAGATAAGTAAAAGAAAAGGCAAAAGAACTGGAAAAGAAAAAATAGTCATTAATTACAGACAATACATAATTGAGGATACAGAAAACCCAAGACTTCATTTACATTTTTATCATTAGGATAAGAGCTTAGCAAGTGTTACCAGACACAAAAATCAACCTTAGAAATAGAACTGATTTTCATCTATTAACAGTTATTACAAAATGAAATATTAAAAAACTACCAATTATAAAAGTATCAAGAACTATCAAGTACCTAGAAATAAATCTAATAAAAAAATTATTACCGCTCTAGAGAAGACTAACATTTTGACATTTTCAAAAGCCCGAGATAGAGCAGATATATCATATTCGTATACTGGAAGACTCAAGTTGTAAAGATGCCAATTCTTCCAAATAGATCTATAAATTCAATGCAACTCAAATTAAAATCCCACCAGGATTTTCTGGGAGAACTTGAAAGACTGATTCTAAAATTCACAAACGGAAAGGGGTAAGAATACCAAAAATGGAAGAACTTACTCTACCATATATCAAGACATTTAGCAAAGTAATAATAATTAAGAATGACACTGGTCAAAGATAAACAAATCAATGGGGGGAAATCTAGGAAACCCAGAAACAAACCCATGTACATATGGTCATTGAAGTGTACCTGGAGAAAGTACAGACTTTTCAACAAAAGGTCCTGGGATAATTGGGTATCCATAGAAATAAAATTAATTTTTAAGAAAGATATCTTTTTTTAAAACTGGGAAAATGCAATAAAGACACTTAAAGGCTTTTCATTATAAAATATAATCACATGTAAAGGAAAAGTATCAGAATGGCATGAGACTTGTCAACAGCAAGATGGAATGTAGAAGTCTACAAAACAGTGTCTTCAAAACTGAGCCAGCTCTCTGGGTTTTGACTTGGTTTGCAACAATATGGCTAAATGCACCAAGAAGGTAGGAATCCTTGGTCAATATGGAACTCGTGAAACTGAGATCGGCTAGCATGCCAAGTACACTTGCTCCTCCAGTGGCAAAACCCAGATGAAGAGACAAGCTTAGTGATCTGGCTCTAGTTTCTGCATGAAAACAGCAGCTGATGTCCCCTGCGCCTATAACACCACTTCTGCCATCACAGTCAAATCTGCGATCAGAAGACTTTAGGAACTGAAAGACTAGGAGGAGCTCCACAATTTGAAATCTTCAGAAGGGAGAAAATGGAAATTTCCAGAATGATAGTGACGCAAAGTCTCAGTTTGGAAAACAATCTACACCAATTATTTAGGTAAAGCTCAGAGCGACAAAACCTGGGAACAATGCTAACTTTAATTGGGAAATACCTGGCTAACTTTTGTAAAAGAAAGCAAAAAATTAAAAAATAACTTTGAAAAATGAGAGGCACAAAAGTACAAAAGATCATTTCAATTTTTATTTTTTTTATTTTTTATTTTAAAATATATTTTATTGATTTTTTACAGAGAGGAAGGGAGCGAGATAGAGAGCCAGAAACGTCGATGAGAGAGAAACATAGACCAGCCGCCTCCTGCACATCCCCTATCCGGGGATGTGCCCACAGCCAACGTACATGCCCTTGACTGGAATCGAACCCGGGATCTTTCAGTCCGCAGACTGATGCTCTACCACTGAGCCAAACCGGTTCGGGCTCATTTCAATTTTTAATAATGTCAACAGAATGCTCCTTAGTTTTTTTTCCCTACAAAGCATTTTTATTTATTTGAGACTACTCCTATCCTTTCAACACCACCAATTATATACTAACACATTTCTAACTTTCAAAGCATATAAATATAACCTTTAGTCCAATTCATTTTTTAATTTGGTATGGGAATTTAAAAGCCTTAATTAAGGTAGAGGAGAAAAATAATGTCTAGATTGAGGATTCTATACCATTCTGAAACTCTTCCTCTCAAATTTAATAATACATGCTATTTATTGAAGGACCGTGTGGAAGCTTCTTTGTTCTCAGATTCTATTCCGAACTCTTGGAAATAGTTTAAATGAACCAAGGGAGAAAAACTAAGAAATACAGGTAAAGTAAAAAATGAACAATCAACAAAGCACATGCAAACCACAAGGCAAAAGATCTTAACTTCTTGTTGGAATGTATTATACAAACATGCATGATTTGAAATTGCATAATAGTTTCCAAGTAAAAATAATGTGAATTTTTAGACAACTTCAGGGTTTCAGACCTCTCATTTATTATGATTAAATTGTACTAAGGAAAATTTTACATTGTTTTCCAAAAGCTAGGCACTAAGAGTATATAACATGGTTTAAAAACATTCTAGAGTAATCGGAATTGGCACTATGAAATATTTGCTCAATTTTGACTTTAAGTCATCTTACTAAATGAATTCTGCTACTATAATAAGGACATAAATTCTAAAATAAAAATAATTTGACAAACCAGACAGTTCAATAGTTTAGAATTAAGGAAACAGTTTAAAATTAAAAAATATATTTTGGGGACAGAAATTATCTATCAAGAGAAATCCTAAACTGATTAATGTCCTTCTTCCCTTTGCTATAAAAAGTGCGCATTAGGTGTTCTTACCTGGAATAAGATCTGCATAGGTCAAGCTAACATATAAGATACTGATAAGTATTTTATCAGCAAGTGGATCAAGAGCACTTCCCAAAGCTGATTTTTGACTGGCCCAGTTTCGAGCAATAAATCCATCCAACTGAAAATAGAAGTTGTTGTTTTTTAAATAAATGTCATAACAGGCACAGAGTAGTTATCTTGAAGAGATACCGGGGTAACAACTATACTTTCATAAAATGTAACTAAAATCTCTTCTGTTTCTTATCCCCAAACCTTCTCATTCTTTCACTGGTATATGTTTAGCTTTTATTACAAACTGGTCTGAAAATTATTTCACTTGTTTACAGTACTTTGCTTTCTCAAGACCTTCTGGTATTTCTCAATGTTTCCACAATGTTCCTCTGTGGGATGAACCCAGACTTAAAATTTAGAGATTTAGAAATTTCCCCCAAACTCACAGAAAGCATGAGTGATAGGGCATGGATTAGGAGGCCCCTCTCTTGAGCACTGGGCTGAAGCTGCTTTTATTTGCAAGGACTTCCCTTTAACTGTGAGACTCATTCCTACCTATTCTTCTACCATTCAACTCCCTCAGTTTTAAGTTATTTTCAAAAAAATTTTAATTTAGTACCACTGTTAATTCCATATATGGCTGCATTTGCAAGACCTATATTTAAATTAAAAATTCAATCCTCAAAAAACAACAACAAAAAAACCCCTCAATCCTCTATGCCTGGCCTACTTAAAAGTTTTTATATATAAATTAGTTGCCAATACTTAAATATTCAAAGTCTTACCACAAAAATCCACATCTTCAGGCCCACTATGGGGTCACAAAATAGACTGAAACCAAGTACAGTTTTGCCTATCCTCATTAAGTAAGGCAGATATTTTCTGGTTTCCAAATCCCCACCTGGCTTTTACTCACTTTTTAACTTTAAGCTTCAAAAACATTTGACTTTTTTAGTTCTATTTCCAAGGGCGGAGGAGGGGAAATCAAATTAATTTAGATGTAATTTAACATGGTACATCTTTAAAGGATAAATAAGTCCTCCATATCGCAAATAGTCCAATGAGTTAGAGGAGACAGCAATAGCACAGGACAATGGTTAAAAACTTGCTGTTTTGGCCTGGCCAGCATGGCTTGGTGGTTGAGTGTCAACCTATGAACCAGAAGGTCATGGTTCAATACTTGGTCAGAGCACATGCCTGGGTTACAGGCTTGATCTCCAGTGTGGGGCTTGCAGGAGGCAGCCGATCAATGATTCTCTCTCATCACTGATGTTTCTATCTCTCTCTCCCTCTCCCTTCCTCTCTGAAATTAATAGAAATATATTTTTAAATATTTTTTTTTTTTTAAAAAGAACTTGGAGTTCACAACAGAACATAAGTGATTCAAGTTCTAGCTCTCCCACTTACTGTGTGATCTTGGGCAAATTATTTGGCCCCTCTAAGCCTCAGTTTTCTCATCTGGAAAACAGAGACAATATTACCTATCTCAAAGGCTTGGCTGTCTTCAGTAATCAACATTTAGTAAATCCCCCCAAAAATAGTATTGATATTACTACCACAACTGAAAGAATCTATTTTCCTCTTAGGTAGATTTGGTGTAAAACTGGCTAACAGGAAGTGCCTAGAACTAGGAGTAGGAGCCCTTCATTTAGTTTCTGATCTCAAGGACATTAACCTCTCAGTTTTTCACCATCATCATCTCTTATCCTGTTACTCTATCCACATTAGGTTCCAAGGTCAACATCATCACTGCTCTGCAAACACCTATAACTCCTACTCTGCTTCCCCTCAATCCTGCTTAAACACAACTACCCATATACTCTAGCCAGGCCTGTACCCAAGCAGCTGAACACTGGTCAAGAAAAACACATAGCCCTAGCCGGTTTGTCTCAGTGGGTAGAGCGTTGGCCTGGGGACTGAAGGGTCCCATATTCAATTTTGATCGAGGGCACATGCCAGGATTGTGGGCTGGATCCCCAGTTGTGTGTGTGGGGGGAGGGGGAGAGGGAGGAGGTAGGAGGGTAGGCAGGAGGCAGCCAATCAATGATTCTCTCTTATCATTGATATTTCTGTCTCTCTCTCCCTCTCCCTTCCTCACTGAAATCAATAAAAATATATATTTTTTTTTAAAAAAAGAAACACACATAAATGGGCTGATTGTTCTCACTTCAAATTTATGACCACAAGTCTCCCGTGGGCACTCAATATTGCCTGGCACCTTCTCTCTTCACACCGTCTGCTCTCACCTCAAACTAACTCTATACTTCCTAAAACCTCTCACTCTAGCTCATTACCATAACTACATTCTCCATGAAAAACAGAAACAGACTGTAAGCACTCCTTCATGTTCCCACCTCCAAATCCACCACTTACCGGCATCCATTACTCTCTACCTTCCCTGAGCCCTGAGCCCAGGCCCTCTCACCTTCTGTGAGTTGCCTTCTCCTTCCCTGCAACCTCAATCTCTCCTTTCCTACCTAATTAGTTTATTAAGAACAAAAATTCCTCATATATATATATATATATATATATATATATATATATATATATATATATCTTTAAAACTGCCCTTCCTTGCCGGGACCGGTTTGGCTCAATGGATAGAGCGTCGGCTTGGGGACTGAAAGGTCCCAGGTTCGATTCCGGTCAAGGGCATGTACCTTGGTTGCGGGCATATCCCCAGTAGGGGGTGTGCAAGAGGCAGCTGATCGATGACTCTCTCTCATCGATGTTTCTGACTCTCTATCTCTCTCCCTTCCTCACTGTACAAAATCAATAAAATATATTTTAAAAAAATAAAAAATAAATAAAACTGCCCTTCCTTGACCCTATTTCTTTATTTCCTTAAAAAGTAAAACTTCCTCAAAGTGATGTGATTATTGTCATTATCACCTTATATTTGACCACCAACCCACTCTGATTGTCCCCACCCTCTACTCATAAGGTCACCAATTAAGTCTGCATTTTTAGCTTCTTTGACCACAACACAAATTGAAGCACTTTCCTCTCCTAACTTCTGTGATGCACCCCATTGCCTAATATCTTCCTTCTCACCAGCTACTCCTCTCTATGTAATTTACTCATTCCCTCTCTATTGCTGTATTTCATTGCTCATTTCTCTGACCCCATCACAGCTTCGATGACTTTCCCAGACCATCTACATGCAGATAACTCCCAAATCTATCTCTAACCACTGACTTCCTCCATCTCCTCACTAACTACATTCAACTACCCAAATGACAACTCTAGGTGAAAAGGCATAATAGTTCTTGGTATTTTTCAAAAAACTCTACCCTATTCTTTTTTTTTTAAATATATTTTATTGATTTTTTTACTGAGAGGAAGGGAGAGAGATATAGAATTAGAAACATCGATGTGAGAGAGTCATCGATCAGCTTCCTCTTGCACACCCCCTACTGGGGATATGCCCGCAACCAAGATACATGCCTTTGACTGGAATCAAACCCAGGACCTTTCAGTCCGCAGGCTGACGCTCTATCCACTGAGCCAAACTGGTTTCGGCTTCTACCCTACTCTTAAGCCCAGAAAATGTCAATCTCAATGTACCTGCCGTAATATTTAACTCCTTTTTCTCACCTCACACATTCAATCCAATGTATCAACTCTATCTTCAAAACATATCTCAAACCCATTCATTTCTCCAGATTCCAAACTCCCACCCTAGTCCAAACTACCAACCCCCACTAGATTACTGTAAGCCTCCTAACCAGCCTCTCTGCTTCCACTGTCACCTTCTTATAATCCATTTCCCATACACAACATAAACCAGGCCTTGTCATTCCCCTGCTTAAACCCTCCATGAGTCCAGCCATCTGCCCAGGAGCCATTCTTAGAGGCATCAAAACCTCCGTGGAATAAATGTGAAATATGGTGCCAGTTAACTCAGGTTTTCACACACACTGTCTTAAATACTTAGAAAAATGTAAATGAGGCCCCTTCTATTCAATGAATATTACAATCTCATGTGGCAGAAGAAAACCCACAAAAACCCACCATCAAAAGAAGATCCACTAAAGTAGCTGAAAAAGATCTTGTCTGTTATGAAAAACAAAATTCCATTATCCGTACAAATAACCTTAGACAGACGTGGAAACCATATTAATAATGAGGGGATGCCTTCACAGACTTCAGAGATAAAAGCAGGAATAAAAGAGAGCTTGTGAGAATGGGGAGAAGTTGTGACAAACAGGACCTAAACTCTGAAAAACAGGAGTGGCAGCCATTTAGCAACTACATTTGATGCATATTTGGAAATGCCATGTAGTAACAACGCAAATGCCCTCCTTTGTTTATCCTGCAAAATCTTCAGCCAATTCCATATTGCTCACCAGAGCCACTGACTGGGCAGGTGAAATTTTCTTTCTACGGACCTCAAAGCTGGGCATACAGGAGGCAGCCGATCATGGATGTTTCTACCTTTCTATCCCTCTCACTTCCTCTCTCTCTAAAAATGAATAAAAACATACTTGAAAATAAATAAATAAAAAGCAAGTGTAAAAAAGTCCCCCTCCTATGCCTCCATACAACCTCTACTACCTTCCTTAGATAATATAAAGAATAATAGAGTTCCACATAGATGCTAAAGACAAGTCCTTAAATAAATCGCCAGCTGAAATGCATCTTGAGAATTTCCTTCCAAGAAAAGGCAGACTTAGGCTGTGCTATTTCCATGCCGTAGAGACCCTGGGATGTGGAAGGGGAGCAAAACAGAGGAAATGACTTTATAACTTACCAAATCAGTTAGCCCGGCTAAAGCAAAAACTCCTAGCGCCACATTAAAATCTTCTTCAATGATCAAATAGCCCAAAACTGGAGCCAAGCCAATTCTCGTCATTGACAACATATTTGGTATTGTCCATGGGTTTTCATACTGAAACAAAAAGACAACAAAATTTAAATTAAACTTATACTTTAAATAAATATACACATTAGAAAGATACACTTGCCCTAACCGGTTTGGCTCAGTGGATATAGCATAGGCCTGCGGACTGAAAGGTCCCAGGTTCGATTCCGGTCAAGAACATGTACTTTGGTTGCGGGCACAACCCCAGTGGGAGGTGTGCAGGAGGCAGCTGATCGATGTTTCTCTCTCATCGATGCTTCTCTCTATCCCTCTCCCTTCCGCTCTGTAAAAAAAAATCAATAAAATATATATTTTTTAAAAGTTACACTTGATAAACTTAAGGGTTAAAGCTATATACACTTTAAATTTAGTAGTTTAAATTGAGTTTTTAAATCCTGTCTGTTTTTACAGACATCATTCTAAAACGGTCAAGAACACAGAAGATGAAGATGTGCCATGTACCCAAAGGTAGACTAAAGTGTCTACTACACATAGGTTTCTTCCTAAAGCAAGAAGGAGCAAACATGTGTTTATCTACCCTATATGTCACGCCTTTAATACAGGACCTCACCATTGGAATGGAAAACTTTAAACACTGCTTTTAAAAGTGAAACTTCAAGAAGCTCTTATACTTCAAGTAGACAGTCTAGGAAAAAAGAACAAATTATCAACCCCAGGCATTCTGGCTTAAAAATATTTATTGCAAATAATCTCCCTCACTCCTCTACACATCAAAAGAATACTAAATGATACACTGTCGGTTAAATGGAATGAAGAGGGGGGAAAAACACTGAATTACAGAACTTCACTAGGAAGTTGGAGAACTGTTCAAAGAAAATGGAACTAGGCATAGGGATTGAAATGTTTAGGAAATAAAGAGAAGCTTAAAAAACTATTCAAACAGCCACGGACATGTTGAGATCCCCAACTAGAAACTAAGAGCTTTCACAGCTCCCCTGAGGGAGCCTTATGATTCCTTGAAATTTCATTTCAAGCCAAGCTGTTTGAAGTTGGCACTAACAAAAGGGCTTCTTGGCAGCTGCTCTGAAGAACATTCCTTCCTTGCCAAACAATATCCAAATTTTAAAAGCCTCAGCCCAGTGGTGCTAAGACACCCTGCACAATGGGGGCACAGAAATAATACCAAGAAAATGTCTCTCCCTAAAGCCTGGATTTTTACCCTAGTGAATCAAGGCTGCCAATGCTAGCCCATGTGACTCTCTCACAAGACCAACCCTAGTTAACCTCTTTCTTAATCAGTAACCAACTTGCCTGAACCTTAATCTTGATTTTTTTTTTTAAGTGATCAATACAAGTTCTAAAGACATCTTTTAAAAATTCCAGTAAGAAAAGATACAAACTTTCTGCTTTTAAACAAAACCTCAGAGAGGCAAGATAATGGGGTTATTAGTTATTAGGATCAGGTGGCAGAACACTGTCTCTGAAAGCTACAGAAAAACTTCAAATTCTCCAGGAAACAATCACCAAAAGAGAAACAATACAAACCTCTACCCAAAGGCCTTTTGTTGAAAACAGACCACGTTATAGAATAAAATGAAAACATTCTTGGAGCATATCCCAAGTTCAAGTTCAACGGTCAGTGTTTCAGAGTCCAGAGAGAAAAAAGTACGTCGGTTGACCATACTGTGGCACAAAATAAGTCAAATACCGACTCACTGTTACAACAAATCATAGTTCCTGATTGAAGAAAAGTGAGTAGCAAAGCAGGAGGTCAGAATAAAGAGGCCCAATATGAATCTCAGATATTCGTGGGGGCAAAATTAAAGACAAAGTTGCAAACAGCCAGATTATTTCACTGGGTGAATTAACAGACCAGGTTGAATGCAGAGAAAGGGTTTCTATTTAACTCCACGTAAACTTATTTCTTGTCTAAATTGCCTCATTAATTTATCATCATTAAATCTGAAAATTTCTCTAAATTAAAATTAAAGAGAGCCAATTTAATCTCCGATTATCCAACCAAAAGCCCGTGGCATACTCGACCAACTACAGCCGTTCTGGGAAGGACTTCCGCCAGCATATGGCAACCTCAGAGCATCCAGCATGAGGTGAGACCCCTGCCAGGATGTGCCACCTCAACCCATGCTGCACAGCTTATGAAGGCAGTGCAGGGGGCCCGCTGCAGACCTAACAATTGAAGATGTAATAATTGCATGAGTCCTGCTAACATGACATCAAAAGCTCACCACCCTACATTTCATGCTCTGGTTAGTCTACCACTTGGCGGTATTTCACTAGGTAAGTAGACAAATAAATACCTCCCTCCGTAACCTCAAGAGAATTTTTTCATCATCTTTTGTGGTGTGACCACTTTTAAAATCTTTCAACTACACCTTACATGACTTATCATGCATCTTATAACATGTAAGACTGCCAAAGGTCAAATAATAGTGAACCAAACCCTGCACAAGCAGTCAGAAAAGCCTGTCTGTGTGTATTTCCGATGATTCCCACGGACTTTCCCTAAAGCATCGGGGATTCCCTTCCCTCGTTAAGTTAAAAATAGACTTTTCATTAGACAGGCGAAGGCTATTTTTACTCCTGCCATAAGGAGGCCGGTCCAGCGATCCGTGCGGATAGAAGAGGCGGAGGGGGGCGGATTCTAACTTCACCACCAGGACGGAAAGCGGGCCCGGGTGGGTACCGCTCCAATTCACCCGACCCGGATAACCCGCCCGTCACTTCTCCCCGGGAAACGGCTTCAAAGTTCTGAAACGGAAGCGCCCGGCCCGGACAGGTCAAAGCACGTTATCCGCATCCAGGTCTGAGCGACCCCGGCCCGGGCGGCCGCTTCTCCTCCGTACGTACCAGGTTGGCGGCGCTCTCCGGGCCCCACGGGCCGCCCGGGGCCTCGGCGGCGGCGCCCTCTCCGGCCCGGGGCGCGGGGGCCGCCTTCCCGACGCCCGAGCAGTGTCCCCGCGGGCCCGCTCCGGGCGGCCTCAGGCCGAGCGCGGCCGGGCGCAGCCACCAGCGCCCCGCCAGGCGGCCCAGGCAGATGGGTGCGGGCGGCAGCAGGGCCCCGAGGGAGCGCCCCTTGCCCGGTCGCGCCCATGTGGCCCCGCGCAGGGCGCCCCACGAGCCCCGCGCCACGCGCGAAGCCAGCATGGCCCCTGCGGCCGCGCTGCGGGGATGCAGGCAGCGGGAGCTTAGCAGCTCGGGGCACCGACGAGCCGCTTCCCCGTCGAGCGCCCACAAGCTCCCGAGACCTCGGGCGCTTCCATACTTGTTTTCAAACCCCGGCGCACACGCCTCTTATACAGGTGGCCCGCAGCCGCCAAGGGCGGACGGGCGCCTTCGCGACGCTTTTGCGACATCGCCGCCGCCGAGCTTCGCTGCGCCCCTGGTGGCGGCGGGAGGCGCGTGCCGCGGAGCTCGGCTGCGGCCGGGACCGAAGCCCGGGGGGAGGGACCAGCGGGCGGGGTGACCGCGGGTCCACGTGGCGGGAGAAGACGCCGCCGGCTCAGGCCCCAGCCTGAGATTCCCCCAAAGCCGTGGCCTGGAGAAGGATCCTCTTCAGGTGTGCGCGGCGTTCTCGGCTCTTTTAGGTTTCAATATTGATAAAGTGGTCCAGAAGCAGTAATCAGTGCTAGCTCACAGCTCTTCTTCCTCTTTTGAGCGTTGCATATGCCAAAAATATAGGTTTTAGGAAATGTCAGTAATAATTACCGTACTGTTTACCTGGAAAGGGTGTTCATTATGACCAAGATGTGTGTGTATGTGTAGAAAGTGCATTATCCCATTTGGTGTTCCCAAAAACTCTAAGGTAAGGTTCATTATTAACTTGACGTTTATTAACGTAAGAAACATTCAAAGCTGTAAAGGATTTTTGTTAAGTAGTACCTGAGCCCACACTATTGGCAATTGCAGGGAAGCTGAATCTCAACGGATTGAAATAATGCTATGGAAAATGGCAGTTCTGCACCTCTTTTAAGTTACAATCAAAAGAGAAGACATAAGTGGGTTACATGAAATCCATTGGCGATAGATTAGGAAGGCAGGAGACAGCAAAGTTTGAAGATTGGATAAAAAGTTAAATGATAAATCCATACTTCTTTTACTTAGGTGGGTGCAGTATAGTAACTACTATGGTTAACAGTCAACAATTAATAACCATGAGGGGATTTGTGGTCTCCGTAGAGTGGTGCCTGTGCTTTGAGGGGTCCAGATAAAGAAAAAATTATTTATTTACTTTAATATATATTATTGATTTTTTACAGAGCGGAAGGGAGAGGGATAGAAAGCTAGAAACATGAATGAGAGGGAAACATCCATCATCTGTCTCCTGCAACGCTCCCTACTAAGGATGTACATGCCCTTGACCTGAATTGAACCTGGGACCCTTCAGTCCGCAGGCTGACGCTCTATCCACTGAACCAAACCGGTTAGGGCAAGGGAAATTTAACATTTCAAAAATATGGTATCATAGATGCAAAAAGACAATAGGCTCAGTTCAGGTAAAGATTGACCTTTGTCAGGGAAGATACTGGCCTAGAATATGACTACCCACCATAAATTGCTTTTTAATTTAATTTCAGCCCTAGCCAGTTTGGCTCAGTGGATAGAGGGTCCGCCTGTGGACCAAAGGGTCCCAGGTTTGATTCCCATCAAGGGCACGAGCAGAAACCAGTTTCACTCAGTGGATAGAGCATCGACCTGCGGACTGAAAGGTCCCGGGTTCAATTCTGGTCAAAGGCATGTAACTTGGTTGCGGGCACATCCCCAGTAGGGGGTGTGCAACAGGCAGCTGATGGATGTTTCTCTCTCATCAATGTTTCTAACTCTATCCCTCTCTCTTCCTCTCTGTAAAAAATCAATAAAATACATTTTTTTTTTTTTAAAGGGCATGGACCTCAGTTGCAGGCTCCTCCCCAGCCCAGGCCCTGGTCAGGGCCTATGCTGGAGACAACTTATCAATGTATGTCTCTCACATCGCTATTTCTCTGTCTTTCCCTCTCTCTTTCTCTAAATAAATAAATAAATAAATAAATAAATGGAAAATATCCTCAGGTGAGGTTTTAAAAAAAAGTTTTTGTTTCAGACATGCAGGCCTTCCCTGAGCTAATCAGGTTAGCATTTGGCCCCTTTTCATCCACACATTTTTACAGCTAAGGAAAGCTAGACGTAGCTTAGAACACTTATTACAAAAATATCCCAAATAATAACCAATTGTTAATTAACTGGTCCATATTACACATTAATGATTACTATTGTATCTGTCATACATTATACTTCTTGATATTAATATTCAATAATATTGCAATGTTGGGGCACAAACGGAGTGGGTGGGGTTGGAGGGAGGAGCTTAAGACACTCGCGGGTGAGAAGCGCGCACCCTCCCATTTGGGGCTCACGCCGCTGCCGTTAGCGGGGTTACCGGCTCTCCGTTCCCGCGCGAGCCTCGCCCCGCACCGCGAGGCTCCGGAGGTTCGGAGGTTCGCGCTGGCGGCCTAAACGAGCCCGCGCCGCGGCAGAGACTCTCAAATGGGTCCGCTCCCCGCCGATGCCAAGCAAGGCCTCCTCACCCCTCTGGTCACTCTTCTGCCCACGCTTGGCGAGGCCTCGTGGCTCCGGTGCGGCCTTCAGGTGGCCCTCGGGGCTTCCGTAGCGCCTGAAAAGGCTTCTCTGTCCAGAGTCACCTCCTCCAGCTCCGCCATCTGGCCTGAGGATGCCACTAGAATCATCTTCATCTTCTGTGCAGCTATCCTTCCCTCTCTCTTACCCTCAGTGCCAGGCAATCTATTAACTCTTCTCTCCCCCGGTGTCTTACAGCACTTCCCAGGAAATGAAGTGTATTCCTCACTGGTTTGCCAGTCCGTCAGGTCCCCAGCGTGACCGTGTCCTACAAGACCTGGGAACTAAAGCAGCGCCAGGAAAGTTATAGCCATCGCTGGAAGGTCTGGAGCCGCTTAGTGTGTCTGGAGCCAACGGTCCACTTTGATTCTCGGTGACAGCTATGTCTTTGGGATCAGTGGTTTCGAGGTTGGGCTGAGGAGCATAATGAATTTGCCTGGCAACTGGAGGTCAGTGAGCCTGACTTCATGGCTAAGTTTTACCAAGCAGTGGTTGCTCCAGCTGGTAAAGACTGATGGGCATTAAAATTAGAGAAGATAACTATAGTTGATGGATCCGAAGCCACAACTCTACAGTGAGAACTTCAGATGTGCCAAGTAAAGGTCTGGGGATGGTATCCTGATTCACGGACTGAGCTTTAGGTCTGGCTATTTCAATGTTTACAGTACATCCTCTGGACTCCTAGTGTAGTAAATGTTTTCCATCTAAGCAAATCCAGATGAGCAGTCTGCCTCTAGCTTACTTCTTTCCAGGAGATGTTAAACCCTCAAAAGGCATATTTTGCAACCAGAACCAAAAAGCATCTCATAACTCAAGCCTACTTTTGGCCCATGGTGATATAAAGTAGAACCTTCCTACCCAGAGACAGGAGAGCAGGGCGATAAAAGGTCACATTTTTATATTTAGCTGGATTCAGATGTCTGGTTTCACCTCCCTTAGCAGATTCAGGTATAATTATATGACATCCTAACCACTGGCTTTCCTGTGATGATTTAGAAAAAATTATGGAAAGTCAGAAGAGGGAGATAGTTAGTTATTCCTTCCTCCACACTAAATATGTTTGAATCCACATACCATAGTAATGACTTTTTCCAAAAGCATATGTGATATCCTTGGAGCTGTTTGAAGATATTTTGTAACTTTGCTCTACAACAATATGAAAAAAAGAGACATTTAGAGGTTGAAGGGTTTATTTTTGTATCAAATAAAGAATCTGTCTTTGGGAAAAAATATAATATTGCAATGTTGCAGAATTGTTTTCATATTCAGTTCTGAATGAAATGGAATGTGTGCGTTTTTGCGACTGATGGGGAGCTGTCTGCCTCCCCCAAATATGCCTCTTTGGGCTATTTAGGCTGGGTCCTTTTAAGAAACGGCAGACATGGGAGAAGCTCTGAAGACCAAGTAGAAGTTGCTCTTTCTGAAAGGATATTTACTTTTATAAGGGAAATCCCCACTTTTAAGCATGTTTCCCTCACTGTGCCAGGACTGCCTTCATTATCAGTAGAGAAGGCATGGATTTAATTGTATATAACAATCTGCCCAAACCGGTTTGGCTCAGTGGATAGAGCCTTGGTCTGTGGACTGAAAGGTCCCAGGTTCAATTCCAGTCAAGGGCATGTACATTGGTTTCGGGCACATCCCCGGTAGGGGGTGTGCAGGAGGCAGCTGATCGATGATTCTCTCTCATCGATGTTTCTAGCTCTCTATCCCTCTCCCTTCCTCTCTGTAAAAAAATCAATAAAAAATTTTAAAAAATGTATATAATAATCTTACTCTTGTTTACAGTGCTTTTCCTGGTAATATCTCATAACTACCTCCAACACCTTTTTTTTTTGTTTTTAGAAAAAAGTAGTATTTTGTGGGAACCCTTTCACGTCCTTTGTGGTTCAGGGTTCAGGAGAAGGACGCACACAAATGAGAGAGACTAGAAAAATATTAATTTGGAAAATGGGGCCAAGCCCAACTCCAGTGGGAGGACTATGCTTTGCTTTGGCCTTGCCATACCTTTTATTCAGGTTTGGGATACAACAATAGGCAGATTATCTTCTCAGTAAAGATTTACATGATTTGGTGGGGGAGTTGCTTCAGCTACCATTGTCTCAATTAGATAGGGAGTGGTTGGCTCTGACCTTTCAGAGCTTTGAGGTTGATCAGCCTTCTGGGTTCCTTGACCACACTTTCTAATTAGACAATGATCGGTTTCCAGCAGTATTTAAGGTGATGGCTTCTCCCATTAGGGCAAATTACTTGGTGTTCTTGGGTCCTTCCCATATATACATGAGGTATATATTATATGTTATCAAATTACATTTTGCTTTTCTCCTTGTCAACCTAAGAAACACCTAAATCTGTAGAGAACTTTTAGGAGTTTGAGCCAAACTGACGGCAATTGCTGGGAAATAAAATCTCCATGGACTGAAAAAAATGCAATTGCACATAAACTCCATTTCTTTAACATGACCCCGCTCTCCTTTCTGTCCATCCACTCCTATATCATTAAGCCCTAAAAGGACATCAGATTCTGATCAGCA